TAATATTCTAAGTAATGTTTCCCATACAATGGTATCGCATTTTCAATTATTTTTTTATGGAATCGCATCTTATTATATTTAAACAGGTGAATGGGAATTTCAATTCAAATAATTATAAAAGCAGAACAATGTTAGCAATAAATTTAATTCGATTGATTTATTATTTATTAAAAATAAAATTTAATATATATATTTTTCAAAATCTTTGATCTCTCTCTAGCATCAATGTCGAGAATAGGCGGTACACACAGCATCAAGCTTATAAAATTATCATTCATAATTCATCCTACTTATCATGACAGCTAATGCGGGTGATGGCTCATACTTTAGCATACCCAATATTTCTTTAGACCACTAAATTATCAGTACACAGTTTGCTGGAAAATCCATGGCCACAAAATGAGAGCATCTGTTGGACCACACCATTTTCTTAATCTGCGTCGGATCTACGCTTATGTTTTGTTGATGATTGAAATTTGAAAACAAACAAGAAACTCTTTTTTTTTTTTTTTGGAGTTTTGATTCTGACTTTTGAGTCAATTAATCAAGAATATAAGAATATAAGAATATGCCATCAGAATTTTTGGTTTATTTTTGAGATTCTGATGCGTTGGCACAGCGGGCAATAAAATGCACGCCAACTGGTTCTGACATCCTTTCAAATACTTTGTAAATAAATATCTTAGGTCAGTTGGTTTTAAAGATAATAATGATTTAAATTGAATTGAATTTTATTTTATATTTTAAAAATATATAATGTTATAAAATTTTAAAATATAATTTAAATTTAAATTAATATTTTTAAAATTGATTCGATTTGAAATGAATAAAATTTTATCATTTTAATTGATTAATTTTTTACATTTTTTTATTTTTTATATATTATTTTAATATATTTAAATAAATTTTAAAATAAAATTATTATTTTATTTTATAAATTTTTAAAAATATATAAATAAATAAATATATAATTTAATTCGATTTAATTTTTTATTTTTTACTTTTTCAATTAACAATTTAATTAAAATCTAATATATATTTAATATTTAAATTTAATTTAAATAAAATAAAAAATCCAAAAATTACAATTTCAAATAGATTTTTAATATATTTAATTTTTTTCTTACTCCTAAGTGATTAATTTAATCATTAAAATAACATTTAATAAATTTAAAATTAAAATCTCAATATAGACCATCTCTTCCCCCTATTTCCTTTTTTTTTTTTTTTAATATAGCTGGGCTATGACTTATGAGAATAATAAAGTTTTGTTTTTATTTACCAAAAAAAAGGTTTTGCTTTTGGGGCGTAATAAGTGACGTTCTCGTGTCTCAAATTGCACGTTACCCTTTTGGATTGAGTTTCTTTTTTTTTTTCCCTCTACCAACGGAATTGATTCTGTTTTTTTTCCTTGAAAGAAGTATTAAAGCCACATTGTATGGTATCATTGTTTATATTGGACAAAATTGTCATATCAACTTAGGTTTGCAAATCAAGTAATCAAATGAATGTCAAAATTAAATGCTTCTAAATTTAATAAGGTGCAATCTCTATCTCAATGAAAATTGCACTTTGATCCAAAGAAAATCGAAAACATTCCGACATTTTAGGGCAGATTAGGCATCCTGGACGTGATTTTTGTTGCTTTAGCTGTCATTTTAAGGCAAATATTCTCTGTGAATATATTCATTTTTTTCTTATTTTAACATAAATAATTTTTTAATGTGAATATATATTTTATTTTCCGGGTAAATGATCATCTCAAAGCATCTTATTAGGAAGCTGATGCTAGTATTTAAAATATATAATCATTTTGAAAAATGATATTTAATAATTTTAAATTTTAATATTTATAATAAATTTTTTTTTTTAATTCTAATTTTGTATACCATTGTCATAAAAAAAAAGTCAAAAAGTTACAATGAATCGGAAGTAAGCGAGAAACATTATCAAATAGAGATGTCAATAAATAAAATATAAAAAATAAAGATGTAAATGATATATTAATACTCATAAATTATTTAAGTTTAACTTAAATAAAATTTAAATTTGATTTTATTATTATCGAGTTAAGTTCAAACTCGAGTAATTCTATTTAGCGAATGAGTCGAGTTTAAATATTTTAATATTTAATTTAAATAATTTATAAATTTAATCGAATTTTTATATTTTAATTAATAATTTATAACTTACACTTAATATAACTAACCTAAAAAACTTTATTGCATTTTTCATTTGTTCTTTGTTTCTCTGTTTCATTCAAAGTCCCGACTCTAGCAAGTGGTGCCTACTTTCCTCTCTCTTTCAGCCCTAAAAAATCCCAAACCAGCTTCCTCTCTTTGTCGATTGACCACAACAGTATAAAGAAATTAATGGCAATAGTTGTGAGTTTCTGGGTTTGTGATCAGTCTTCCTGATTAGTACAAAGAAATTATTAGCAATGGCCATAGTGGCGGGTTTCTTTGAACTCCAAATTATTGACTAGGAAGACCACAACATTTATAACTAGATTTTGGGTTTGTGAACCAAGCTTGGACCTGTAAGTTTCTTCTCTAGGTGTTTCTTCTTCAAAGAGTCATGATTTGTTTCTGTTTGTCGTGGACCACTTTATGATATATTAAAAGGTAAAGCTATTTAACGTTTTTTTTCTAGCATAGCTCCGATTTGTAATTTGTAATGTATAATTGATTATAGAAGAAGGTAGAATTTTATGTTCAATTATTATTTAAAATTATAAAAAATACCTTCAAATTTGTTGTAAGAACTTAGTTTTCAATGACATATTGCTCTAATTTTTTGTTTCATTTGCGAATTCGAAATATTTTTAGATTTGATCATTGTCCTATTAAACTTTCTTCTTCTTTTTTTCGCATATTCTTCTTTTATCTTTCAATTTAATTGAGTGGTTTAAGTCTTAATCAATTCAATATTTAATATTTTTAAAATATATATAATTAAAATTTTAAATAAAATTTTATTCATGATTAAAATGTTGAAGTTAAGCTCAAGTATAAGAATTGAACTTATTATAATATTTTAATTGAACCTAATTAAACGAGTTCGAATAGTTTAATTTTTATCTTGAGTCGAACTCAAATTAAAAAAATAAAATTTAATCGAGTTCAAGTTAAATTTCAAACATCAAATTCGAAGTCGAGCTTGAACTTGATATTATATTCACTCGAATTCAATTGATTACACCTTTAATGGGGATAGTAAAATATTTCCTATTTCCATCTTTCAAAATTTTACATTATATCCATTTATATATCTATACCAATGTTTATTTTAAATTTATCATATTTTCATTCTCATAAATATTTAATGGATATGAGTATATTCTCGTACTCTAGTTTTTTAAAAATAAAAATAAAAATAAAAATAAATTTTAAGTTTTTATTTTTATTTTAATTTTATATAGTTAGATTTTTTTTATAAATATATATTTTTGAATAAAAATTTATTAATTCTAATTAATTTAAAATAATAATTATTATTTAATAAAAAATTATTTACTAAATACATATAAATATATATAAGATACGAATTCGAAGAGAAAGCTATATTATTAATTTTATTTTTTGTATTCAATAAAAATTTAAAATTATATCAATTCTCTTTTTTATTTAAATAAAAAATAAAATTTTCATCCAATATAAATAAAATTGGCATCTCTGCAACCAAGCCAAAACCTAATAGTCTTTATTTTGCCAAAACAAAAAACGAACCTAATACGCCGGTGTTGGCATGTCACTGTTTTTGTTTCTTTCGCCCCTACCTATCAATTCTCATGTGTTAAACCAAACACTATCCCTAAAAACCTTTGTCCTGCCCGCATGATTTTGTTCGGTTGGTTTGGCTCTTTTCCTTTTTAAATGTTTTATTTTATTATATTTTTCCACTTTTGACCCTTCAAAATTTCCCGGCGGCAGTTGTTTTGAGAAACTTCTCGAAACGCCTTTAGTTGCGTTTATTTCCAAGTCTGACCTTCCGTTAATATCTATGTTCCCTTCACGCCCAAGGGGAAATATATAGTTTCTTGATTTTCTTTCCTACAAATAAATGATAATGACCTAATTATCCAACCGTAAATCCATTTCATAATTGTTACAAATTTTTCTACGGTGATGACTCGATAATAATAATAATAACAATAATACTAATAATAATAATAATTAGCAATTAATTAATATATTATGTACAAAAATGAAAATGATTAATACTTTAATACTAAAATGAAATCCAAATTATACATTAAATAATATTTTTTATTTAAAATAGTTAAAATTTAAATCTAATTCTTTGAATAAGAAGCAAGGGTATTTTTATTTTTTTATAATGAATAAATTATTTTTTATAAAAAATTATAATTTAAAAATACAACATAATTATAAACATTAAAATTTAAATTCAAAATTTATTAGATACTACTTTTTAATTATAATTATATGAATTAATTAAATTAAATTTTAAATTAAAAATAAATTTCATCTAAAGTGCAATAGTTTTAAATATAATATAACATATGCTAAATTTTACCTATATATATTTTGCTACAAAAATAAAAATACATATACATAAAAATACTCAAATTTAAGGGAAAAAAAAAAAGAAAATCCTCTTAGCGAGATTTTAACTTAATGATAAAGAGAAGATTTTAAAATTTAAAGTTTTAGATTTAAGTTTTATTAGATATAAATTTAATTATTTAATTAATTTAAAAAATATAATAATTAATTATTATTTATATATAAATATAATATTTAATTACGAATATAACTTTAAAAAAATCCCAATGCCGAGGATGATTTTTTTTTTTCTCAATGATGAAATTTTAGGTGCACCAACTTACGGAGGCAAATAAAAGGTTAGTTGGAGGGTAAAAGAGTAAAAGAAAGAGGAAAACCAGCGACGAAAAAGGTGAGAGAGATAATCCAACGGCAGTACACGGTTCCTTGGGAAAGACGACAAAAGAAAATCGAAAATCTTGAAGCGCCCACTCTTAGCCCTTTCTCTTTTAAAACCCAAGTCCGAACCTTTTCTCTATCTGCTCCGTCTTTCTTTCCTCTCAAACAAAATCTCGCTCTTTCCTCTTCCAACTCCGATCGCCTTTTCAATCATGTCTTGCTTCATTAGCAAATACTCCGGTAACTCCCCTTCCCTCTCTTGTTCCGATTCTCTTTCCTTCTTGGTGTTAATTTTGTTTATAATCTTCTCTTCCATCGATCTTAGTTTTTTCTTTTTTCTTTTTTTTCATTCTGATCTGTTAGATGTTTGATAATATGACGTTAGTTGCTGTTTAATTAGTTTAATTGAGATACAGATCTGGTTGGGTTGGTGGGTTTTACACTGTAATGAAAACCTACAGCATTTCGATATCTAGATTTATTCGGATCTTGAAAGATCTGATCCTTTTTCTCTCGAGTGGATCTTCGGTGGCTATTAACGAAATTCATTTGTGCTGTTCCCTTAACTCGAAAGAACCATGATGATTTATTTTCTAATTATTAATACATGGCATTATATAATCCATTCGACTTTTTTTAAAAAAATTTTTTGAGTTAATTTTTATGATATCTGAAAATCTAGATCTGCATGCAATAGTTTGGAGTATTTATTTTTAAGTTGTAATTTGATAAATCAGTCCTTGATTTGCTTTTAAAAATCGTGGTAGCATCCAATTGAAATGAATTTTGCTTGGTTGCATTTCATTTTAGATCTGAGATTACTGAATCTTATACATTTATCTTTAGGTTAGTTTAGTTTTCCTATATCAGGATCTCTGTTTCTTGACCCTTAAATGGTGAATTGGTGGCTTCATTTTTCTTGTTATGAAAAATCTTGCAGACGAGCTTGTTAAAAATGCTGCCTACATTGGCACCCCTGGAAAGGGTATCCTTGCTGCTGATGAATCCACCGGAACAATCGGCAAGCGTCTTTCAAGCATTAATGTAGAGAATGTTGAAGAAAACAGGCGTGCTCTCCGTGAGCTCCTTTTCACTACACCTGGTGCTCTCCAGTACCTCAGTGGTGTTATTCTTTTTGAGGAAACCCTTTACCAAAAAGCCTCTAGTGGTATTATTACAAAACACCTCCTTGTTATGCATTTTTTAAGAATGTTGTATTGTTGTTGATTTCTGATACTGGTTTTTGATGTGCAGGCAAGCCCTTCGTTGATATCTTAAAGGAAGGTGGTGTCCTCCCTGGCATTAAGGTCGACAAGGGTACCGTTGAGCTTAATGGAACCAATGGTGAGACTTTCACCCAGGGTCTTGATGGCCTTGCGCAACGTTGCCAAAAGTACTATGAAGCTGGTGCTCGCTTTGCTAAATGGCGTGCTGTGCTCAAGATTGGCCCTAATGAGCCGTCTGAACTTGCAATCCAAGAAAATGCCAATGGGCTAGCCATGTATGCTGCCATCTGCCAGCAGTGCGGACTTGTCCCCATTGTGGAACCTGAAATCCTTGTTGACGGACCACATGACATCAACAAATGTGCTGATGTGACAGAGCGCGTTCTAGCTGCTTGCTACAAGGCTCTAAATGACCACCATGTCATGCTTGAGGGTACTCTGTTGAAGCCTAACATGGTGACCCCTGGTTCTGATTCCCCAAAGGTTGCCCCTGAGGTTATTGCCGAATACACTGTCCGTGCCTTGCAGCGAACTGTACCTGCTGCAGTCCCTGCTATTGTATTCTTGTCTGGTGGACAAAGTGAGGAGGAGGCTACCCTTAACCTGAATGCCATGAACAAGCTCCAGACCAAGAAGCCATGGTCTCTCTCATTCTCATTTGGACGTGCCCTTCAGCAGAGCACCCTCAAGGCCTGGGCTGGAAAGGAGGAGTATCTGAAGAAGGCTCAAGATGCTTTCCTTGTTCGGTGCAAGGCTAACTCGGAAGCCACTCTTGGTACCTACAAGGGTGATGCCAAGCTTGGTGAGGGAGCCGCGGAGAGCCTCCATGTCAAGGACTACAAATACTAGAATTTAGGCTTGTGGTCTAATTTGTCATGTTTTGCAGAGTAAATTGCGGTATGATATTAGGCTTTTAGGGCTTTTTTTTTTCTTTGGTATCTGTCGTTTCTCGTGGAATTTAGGGGGTGAAATCTCACAAATAAGCATGGGGACCCTTTGTGCTCGTGAGTGTTGGATGGTTTTTGTTTGATTTCTGTTTAAAAACATTATTATCTGCTTATATAATGTAGTTTAAGACCGCATTTTGTTGCAAACTTAGTTCTCTTATTTTTCTTTTAAATTTTTTCATATGTAATGTGTTTCTTGATTCATTAATCGTAAGCTTACATTTGAAGACTTCTTGAAAGCTATTATGAAACGGTCGGTAGGGTATTAGATTGTGAGCCAGTGTTGGATTTTGTCTGCCATGGTAAGTGTTAGTTGTTTTCTAGTAAAAACTCCAATGGAAGAAATGCCTCTCTTTCATGAGATAATTGCGGTTTGATCAGAGATATGTTGCAATGACTTCGGCCTACTTAAACTAGTTTTTTCTCCTCTGTATGAAGTAAAACGCTTGGTTGCCACAAAAGTATGGATCATGCTGTCTGGGACTTTGACATCCTTTTGAAACCAACCTAGAAAAAGAAAAAATGTTACAAAAAAAAAATTGAAAGGCAGTACGTGGAGTGTTACATATGGGCCGGGTTCAATAATTTATAATTATTTTAGAATTGTGCGGCCCAATACTGGATTGGTCCAGAAACCCAGCTTAGGACATCACTTAACGCACCCATTGGATTGGATCCCTGGTCGGCCTCATCCATCAATCGCTAATTCTTACACAATGCTTTCTGCGCCCGTTAGATCCAGAGATGATGCTTTCTTTCATCGTTTCTTTCATTCCACAAGGCATTAATCAACCTTTCTCATTGGCTGCCAGTTTCCTCAGCACTTTTTCCATGAATACGGTAACAACCAACTCGGAGCCCTTTGGATGAATTAAATTTGGTCCCATGTTTATTTCTTTAATTCATGGTGTGGCTATTTTCCCTCTTTCACTGGTTAATTGTATTTCTCTCAAAATTCTAGCTAGCTATTGCAAATGGATGAATTCTGCTCCAGGATTTCCATTTTTTGCCTTCATTTCACATTGGAAGACTCACTTCTTCATCTCCCATAGACCAAGTTCGTGAAAAATATAGTTTTTTTTACAATATTTTCATGAGAATATAAATGAAACAATCCTCCAACTTCTCCTGGAAGCACAACAAAGTGCAGCTTTTACTCTCCCTTGTCAAAGGAGTACTGATCAGAACTCACGGGGAAGCCGTTGGAGTGTTGAACTGTAAAAATCCTATTGTTAATATAAAGGTTCTGATCAGGGTTTGCATCAATGATAATCTATGCCTCATGCTTTCAAATTTTCATATGATTTATTAAAAGGTAAAATCGACTATTCAATTTTTTAAAGTTGTCATCTTATCATTGAAATTAAGAGTACAAGCATTCTACGAACAGTTCAGGTGAGTATCGTTACCATTCAATCATGTCAAATAAGCAAGTTTAACTAGTTAGATAAGTTAACTAAAACGAAGAAATTAAGAGATAAAAGGTCAAGAATTATTCACAAATGAAACTGCTAAGCCCTAAAAGGGGCTTTTAACAGGGTGCAGCTTATTGGATGGAAGATAATACTATATTTTAGAAGAACCCAAATAAAGCTGATCATGTAAACTGTTGAAGTGTTAGTGTTTCAGATTTCAAGGAGTGGTGGGTTTGTTATTTCTAGCCAAAGATACACAAAACTGGATGAAAAGGTAGAGTTCCCAAATTGGGGTAAAATTTTTGAGATTGCAGATTTTTCAGTTAATTCCAGTAACCAGTCACATCAAATGCCATCACCAAAAAGACTGATTTTGTTTAAATTTCATTTATTTTTTCCATAATTGTTAATGTATAGTATCGTTTCCTTCGACTGCCAATTCACTGGAACTGCCTCTACGCCTTGGGACAAGCAAGCTTGGTTCAGGATTCAGGCAAAACAAATGAAAAAAGCTGATAAAAGAGGCACTGGTACTTTTCTTGCTGTGATAATGACTGCAATGTCTCTCCTTTCTTTGGCCCCCTTCTGGTGTGGGAAGCTTCTTTACTCTTTCCCCAGTACGGTCAGTCCCTATTTGGAAGAAAAAGAAAGACTACATGACGCAAGTCTTGGGGATCATAATGGAGTTATGTACATGAAGATTTAATTCCTACAAAAGTGAAAAGCTTCCAGGGAAGGCAGCAGCCCAGAAATCCATCACTTTCTAATTCATTTGAACATCCGAGTATTGTTTCCGACACTAAAAGATCTGATCAGCTCTATATTTTTTTTTTCCGTATATCTTTCATTTCAAATAAGGCTTCTATGTTCAATGCAAGCTATTGATCTGTGTTTGATGTGTGGCTTCGCTTTCTATGCTCATGGAGTTGATGGAGATATATCATTGTAAGGAAACTTAATGGTCTTGTGGAGAGGATCAGACCAACAAAAAGTTCAAATGTCGCTTTTATACTTTACACTTCATGATTCAATTCTTCTTACATATATGTAGTTAACAAAAATAACTTCAAAGGTGGTTCAAAATTTACTAATATTTTTTTCCACTGATCTTCTAAAATGTCTTTCTTCTTCAAGTGAAAAACTGAAGCTTTTATTTAAAATGATCAAACAATTTTGAGTAGCTATAAACAAATACAGGCAGGCCATATATATGTGTATATATTCCCATAGCATATGGTATTTTTAAATGTAGCCCCAGAGATCAACACTCCGATTTCCAACATTAAATTACAACATTCTTTTTGTTCACCATCAACCTTTTTTTCCCACTATTTTGCAGCATTGCCAAGCTCATCTAAGCTCCAACGTTAGAATAATTCATTGGAATTTGCTGGGTTTGCAAATGCAAACATCTGTCTTAGTATTAGTCAAGCATGTGGGAAACTCGGGGATTGTTCATTTCAAGCTATATATATTCTGAATAGACCTTCTTGAACATTATAATTTGCAAACAAGTTAAGCACTTTTCCTTGATTCTCCTTGTTCATAAAACGCAAGGATGGGAAGGAAGAAAAAAGGAAATATCTTTAACCTAATGGTTATGCTGTACTAAGCAGAGATGGTCTTTTTGTAACTTAGTTCAGTAGATTTGAAATTTTTTTTCATACATTTCAGTTTGTCATCCTCTCTATTGAGTACATCATTAAACTCGCTTCTTAAGGAGGGGTTGGATGGGTTTTTTTATGAAGGAAGCAATAGTTTACAGATAAAGAAAGAGGTTGCAGGTAGTGAGATTTGAACTTTATACTTGGATATTACTTTTTAAGAATGACTAGATAAACCAACTGAGCTAAACTTTAGGTTTTGAATGATCCATTAGATATTTTAAACTCACCATGACCATCATCTTTTTTACAAATTTTGATTTAGTTATGACTAGCTCCGGATTTTGGAGCGCTTTTTAACATTTTATGTTTTTGAAATCTTTCATAAGGAAAGTATTTCAATTGTTATCCTTTGATGAAATCTTAATGTTTAAGATTTTACTTCTTTCGTGTAATGTACCAAAATATCATAACTATGAGTTTATTTTTCTTGTTGCATTGAATGTAAAACATTTTTTTCTTGTTTGAAAAGACTTGACTCTCTCTATCTATGGTCAATAAGTTATCAGCCGACATATTATTGTGATGGGTAACAGGCCATCAAGGAAGCTTAGTTTTATCTGCAATTCCCTTCCTCAATTCCAAGCTCACCACACAAATTATTTACCTCTGGCTTTTACTCACAATGATAAACTCTTTGAATATACATGAAGAAAAATATACCTTGTCATAGGAATGACAGTAATGTCACTCCAGACTCGGTTAATTACTCTGGTTAAAGTGCTTTTCTCATTATTAATGACAAAAAATGCAGAATGTGAAGCACTAACAAAAGTGATCATGTGGGATACATATCCTTGGAGCATCCCACTTAAATACCAATAGCAGTCACCCACCTAACTTCTTTGGTACAGTTTGATAAAAGACACTAAAAACACAATCTAAAAGATTTTGCTTCTGGGTTTATAATCTGATCTATCACTGTTTCCTTAACCTATTGTACCCTACTGCAGAGAAAATTGTACATGATAAACTTTTGCACACGTGGGGACAAACACATACAAACTACACGAATTTTTTCACTAGATGTTACTAAACAACAAACGATCAGTAAAGATGAAAGAAAGAAACTGATGAGGAACTAACATAATCAAATCTCCATACATAGCAGGAAAGATTTTCAGCAATGTCAAACATGAAAGACTTGGTGTTTCAGAGCAACATTAAAGCCTTTTGCAGCAAGATATTTAAACCCATTATTATTGCTATTAATCTTAAATGTGCAATGGCTAAGATCCACATAAAACACAATTTGCTACACATAAATTCTCATCGGTCAGCTCCTTGCTTGTACATTGTAAATCCCCTCTTAAAAGAGAGTGTACATTTGTCAATAATGAGAGCCAGCAATTCCCCTCATTGCCAGTACCCAATTGCATATATCTCATGTGGAATTATAGAACAATTGGGAAATCTGTCATATATGTTGTTCTTAATCTTACTGGTTTTCTCCTTTGCTGAGCTTCACACCATAGTTCTCCCACAAGTTCTCTCCATCAGCCATCAAGAAGCGAAAGCAACTATCATTTACAGCATTGCCAGCATTAGAGTTAGAAGGGGAAGAGCTGTCATTTGTTTGGAGTCTCACTGTCTCAGGTCCTTGCTGATCATTAATTTCACAGTAAGCTCTTCGTTGACTGTAGAGGGACTGATCATTGTTCTGGTAATAACCACAGCCTCTTGAGTTGTCCTTGCGTTTTTTGTTACTCTCCCTGGTTTTGGTTATTAGGTAAGCGCTAATGCTATCCCATTTGTCTTTGCACTTTAAAGCACTCCTGTCAAAGCCTAAACAAACCATCTTAGCAGCTATTTCCTCCCACAGAATCTCTTCTGAACACCCTCTTTGTTGGAACCTCGATTCCATGCTTGTTCTCAGCTGTATGAGCTTAGAAATTTCGGATTCTTGCCACCCATCTGCCTTTACATTGTTGTTTATTGTTTCACTTCCATTCTCATTCTGGTTTTCACTGTGGTTTTGCATTTCAGTTGCCATTAGTTCCTCAGATGATGCAGCCTTAAATTTTTTTCCTTTGAGGTTCTGCAAGGACTCCATTAAAGCAGCATCACGAGCTTCAATCCAAGCTCTCTCCTTAGCCCAAAACTTGTGCTCTCTATCTATCCTGGCTGCTTCCTCTTTTCTCCATTCTTCCTCCCTTAAAATCCTCTCTTGCTCCTTTTGCTCAAGTGTCTTTGTTAATTTCTCAAGCCATGCCTCTTGCCTCTCCACTAACTTCCTCATTTGTGAGTCGATAAACTCTTTTATCTTTGCCTTCCAGCTCCTACTACTACCCCTTTTTTTTTTCCGCTTCTCTGATGAATCATTTTCCACTGCCGCTGCAGTGCTTAAATCATTGTCATCTGAAGAAGTGTCGAATTCGGAGGAATTAGAAAGGCTAAGACTATCACAAAGTTTTTGAGCGTGATAGACTTCTTGATTTGATTGAGCATTGCTGTTGGGATTGCCATGAAACCGAAAATTGTTCCCAACTAGGTGAGTTTCTTGGCCTGAAACTGAATTGCTGGTCTCTCCATATAGAGCTTCAAGCTGACGAAAGAATCTATAGTGCTTACCATCTTGTCTTCCGGCCTTCCCTTCCTTAGTCTTTTTGTAATACTTATACAAGTTTTCAAATTTCTCTCTGCATTTTTTTCCATTCCTTTGGTACCCATGTTCCTCATTCATGATCCTACAGCAAATAGAAAATGGAAAATAATATATCAAAATTTAAATCTAAAGCAAAATTATACATAGCCAGGAACCCTAATCCAAATTTGCGAAATGAGAAAGAAAAAAAAAAGATGAGCATCAAAAGATCATGTGATGATTCTTGCCAAAGTGATGAAAAACAATTGTGTTTCCATTGCTGGGCATTTTGCAGTTAACCCAACCAAGCATATTATTGACCATTCAAAATTGCAAACAAAGAAGGGTCTTTGCAAGGGACTGATAAAACGTCTTTTCATGGGTAAAACCAGTAGATGTGTATTTAAACATCCAAAAGACTAGTCGTTTTTATAGCAAAAAACCAGTAAAAACTTGCACAATAACGAAGGCAACACATTTTCAAAGGAAAACAAGTCAGTAGAAAACTATTGAAATTATCAGCCATCCTGAAAAAAGCTGCAAAGAAGAGGTAAACACTGTACCTAATTCTGAACTGAACTTCTTCACAGTGTAGCATGTCCTTTTCTTAAAATCATAAAGTTTTTCAAAAGTATAATTATCTTAATAATAACAGCAAGAAACACAATAAGAAGTCATGTTTTTCTGGTGAAAATCATTTAGCAGCAAAGAAAGGAAAGCAAAGCCTAAACGATCCTACCATGAAGAATACTACAAATTTAAAGAAAGAAAGAAAGAAAACAGTGCAATCGTGAAAAAACAAGAGATTTTTTTGTTTTTCTTTTTTTTTAGTGTAATAATAAGAATGAAAATGTACAATAAGAAGACATGAACAAAAAACCCCATTTCATATCACTAGACCTAGTAATAATGAAAGAAAACAAACCGATTATAATCATCTTTAATTATTAAAAGAAAAGGAAAAAAGAATTTGTGAATTTGCTAAATTAAAAGAACATAGAAACCCTTTGTCAATGGAAGAGGGGAAGAAAAAAAAAAAGAGGAGAGAGAATTAGGGTATGGTATTAGTGTACCTGGAAACTTCATCCCACAAAGGACCTTTTTGATTAGCTTCTTTGAACTTGGGATCAAGACGAGATCTGATCTCAAGAAGTGTTAAAGTCTCTTGTCTAGGCCATCTTCCAGTTCCTCCATCGCCGCCAAAAGCAGTTGCTTCACCATCGAACCCACAACTTGCACTTGGAGTAGAAGCACTAGTGACAGTGGCAACAGCAGCCGTGGGAGTAGCATTATTATCAGTAGAATCAGAAGGAAACTCGTGATGAAGCCCATGAGGCATAAACTCATGACCAACTTGTCTACCCACCATTTGCATCATATCAAAGTGGTGATGGCGGTTGGGTTGGTGGGGTTGCAGTGGCGGCAGATTCCGGTGCCCGGAGGAGAATAACTCGGGACCCTGGGAAATTGCTTGAAAATGGGTTGGCCTTCCGTTCATTAGTTGCCTAGGATCAGGCATGCCGTATTGATGGTGGTGATGATCCTCCATTTCCATGTCGATTTTATGACAGAAACAATAGAAAGAAAGAAAAGGTAGAGAAGAGAAGAGAAGCTACAAAAAGAGAAAAAGATAAGGGTTTCAAGAGAGAAAGAGAAAGAGTGAGAGAGCGGCAGACTAGGATCGTGTCGTCCACGAAAAAGCTCGAATTCAAGCACAGGACAATGGTCCCATCTCTCTGTATTAAGTGGCGTATAAATGTTCGTATTTTGCTACAATCTTTTCTTTTTTCTCTTTATATTCAAATGTTGTAAGCCTAAGCCTAAGCTAAAGAAAACATACTTTGTTTTGTTTGTTTTGAGTTTTGTAGAGTGAAACATACTGTGGGAGCGTGCGTAAGCGAGAAAGAGAGAGGGAAAGTGGTTTCACTGCTTCGGAAAAAATAGAGGAAAGCCACACGTATAGTAAGAGCATAGCAGCAGGAAGGAAAGGGAAAGAAGAGAGAGACGGGGGTAATGAAATGATGGACACTTGGTTTAAGGCAAGACGACGAAAAATGCTGGAGAGAGAGAGAGAGAGAGAGAGAGAAGGAGAGATGACTTGCTGACAAGTGTACAGTGCCTATGATCCGGCCTTTTTGACCGCCTACCTCTCTTTCTCGTGTGTCCCTGTGCCCTCAGCTCAGCTCAGCTGAAGTGCTGCTGGCACTGACTTGCTCCTTCGAGGGTACACGGAGCCTCTTTGGCCCTTGGGTTCTTGGGGCCCAGTAGACGGTTGGTCGTTTTGATAGATTCTTGTGTTGAGTACATTTAATTCAGAATTTTTAGCATTTAGTTTAGGCCATAATTAATATCTTCAATTCTTCATTTGTGAATTGTTGATGACAATTTGACGGTTGATCAACATATATTATATCTTTAAATAGAAAAAAAAATTAGATAAAGTTTTTTACGTGAAATCCGTAAAATTTTTAATTAAAAATAAATAAATTAAAATTAAATAAATTAATTAAAATTAAAAGATTTCGTTATACAAATCAAGTATACAAATTTTTAAAAAAATTAATAAATTTTGATATATATTTTTAGATAAATATTTTGAGTAAAAATATTAATAAAATTTTTACTATTGAATAAATATCGATTAAATTTAAATTATAAATAATTTTTTTATAAAATATTAATTTTTACATTGAACTTTATTAATTTATTGAATTGAAATTTTTATTAAAATTTTTATTAAATCATTTTTAAGAAAGAACTTTACAAATTTTATCTAAAAAATTTCATGTAAATTTTTTCCCTTCAAATATAGAAAGATAATTTTACATTAAATGAAAAAAGATAAAAAAAAAATTACATGAATACCTTAAGATGTGTTGATAGAATACTAAATTATTAATTTAAATTATCAAAGTTCAAATTTTGATAATTTTAAAAAATAAAAATAAAAAATATTTTGAAAACTAAAGATCTTTTTGTATGCACAGTGAAAAGGATTCCTTACTATTATTGGAATATGCTTAAATTGGATTAATCCAAAATTCCTTACCGACTTGAAAAAGCAACCACTAATTTCTGACCAATTCAAAAAATTAAAACAATCCAATCTCAAGTCTAACTTGCAATATACCGCCGCATTGCTGCTGGTGATGATATCCAATATTTTTCAATGGCTGTTGTTATATGCATGATGAGGACTTGATTGGGAGAGTCATGCAAGACAAAAGCAAAAGACTAGATATATATAATATTATGTGCCGGTTCCAATTGTAAAGTAAGAATACCAAAGTATAGTAAAACAACCGACTTCAGACCGAAAAGGTTAAATGATTAATTTAAAATTAAATTTGTACGTAATTATTCGATTTAAGATTAAATATTTTAATTTATATAAATAAATATTAAATATTATCAATGTTTACAATTAAAAATATATTTGAATAAAATTTTTGTATATTTATTACACGTAATTTAATTGCATGGTTTAATTGTTTATTGATATTGATTTATTTTAAAAAACAAAAATTAATAAAAAAATTAATTTTATAATAATGCAACAACTTTTCTTTCTTTTCAAATTTTTTCTTTTTGTTCTAACTTCAGATTTTTCTCCCCTCATCTCTTTTTTCTTTATGAAACCTCTCATCGCATTGTTCTTGTAGATGCCTGTCTTTTTTTTTATTCAATTTTTTTTCTTTTTTTCTCTATTCAACTCCTCTCTCTTACCTGAAATCCAAGCCGCTGCCGCCCGGTTTGTAAACTTGGAGCCTCCTAGGACCTTTCGGAGCAATCCATCTCTAAGTTTCAAACGGAGTCCCCATCATTCTTGATTTCAAAAGAAACAGTATAGTTGAACAGTGAGTTGCCTACGGATGGATTGTTTTTGGATCTTTTGATAATGGTTCGGATAATTACGATTCGGATTGTGAGATATTCCTTGGATTTGATGATTTTTCAAGGGGTTTATGATCCTTGAGCTCTATAATTGGGATGATGTTAGATCATTGCTTTCAATTTTCTGTCTTTTTCATACATGTTTTAATTCAAAATTTCCGGACAAACAAAAATTTATGTGGGTTTAGTTGTGGTTTTTTGAATTTCATGGATATCATAGTATGAATTGGTGATTTTTCTAGAATTTTTATTTTTGTTTAAAATAAAACTTAACCACTAAAAAAGTGAAACATAACCACTTTTATCATTTAATTGTTATTTTTATTAGAGTTAATGGTGCATGTGAAACACACAATTTTTCATCAAATCTTAATTGCAAACGTTTGATAACGTTTAATTTTTATCTAAACAAATTAAAATATTTAATTTTAAATTGAATAATCACTTAAATGATTAATCCCAAATGAAACATTTAGTCAACGAAAAAGCACTTCATTTATCAATGTTTGCAAATCTAGTCATAACAATCCTCTTTCCTTTTTTTTTTTTGTTCATTTGTTGGAAGGGGAGAGTTTGGGGTTTATATCCTTCTACTGTTGCTGAAGATTATCCTTGCTGTCTGGTAAAGGATGAAAATATTCTACTTATGTTTTCCATATCTTTTGGTGGCCGCTGGGGGTGAAGGGGCAGGATTGGGGGGCTGATCAGTTGTAGTTGCAAAATGTAGAAAAAATAATGTTTGCCCTGGTTAAGTACTTATGAAACTTCCTACAGATATATAATTAATTTTTCATACTTTTATTTGCAAAGTTTTAAATTGAAGATCTATATGTAAAAATGAAAACCTTTAAATTACCCACATACCCGGTCCAAGGCTTGCTTGGCCTTAGTTACTAATTCAATTATGAAGTGCCCCTAACTATATATGCTCATTTCAAACTTATGAATTTACGATCGAAAGTATAATATATACAGGAAACCTAACTATTCCTTGGCAATCTATCTCATACTCAAATTCTCGAAATAATAAAATCAGTATTCAATTTAATTGGTTTATATAATTATTAGTGATATGTAACAAGTTTAAAATTTAAATCTTTGCATCTATAATACTTTTCTACCCTTTGACTGTAAACTTATACATTATATCTTGTATTTCTTTCTTTTTTTTTTCAATAAAACGATCAACATAAAATTATAATTTATCAATAAAAAATCTTTAAAATATAAGTACTAAGTTCTTATATATATATATATATTATATATATATATATATTAGTTTTTGACATGCGCATCTTTAAATTTTCATTTTATAAATAATCTTATAATAATAATAATAATAATAATAATATAATCTTGATTTTGATATAAGTTAATTTTGATAACTTTTTATATAATTTTGATTTTAGTAAGTTTTGATAAAATTTTATTAACTTTTGATTCAATTTTGGTAATCATTGATAAAATTTTAGTAATATCTTGATGTAATTTTAATAATTAACCTTCTAATAACTTATGGTATACTTTTAGTAATCGTTAATAAAATTTGAGTCATCTATATTTAACAATGAATTTATGTAAGAAAACATAAATTCAATTTTAATATAAAACAATTCTTTTATATAATAACTGTATTGTTTTATTCAAATTTATAACTTTTTTCATTGAACTTTTTTATTAAATAGGTTGGTGGTAGGTTCATCTAAGTCTCCAAAGATAAAATTTCTAACTTTATTCCTCCTAATAACCAATGTTCAATTCCTAACAACTTTAAGTCTAAAAAAATTTATCAATGATTGATAATTAAGTTATTATTGATTTATTATTATTTTATCAGTAATTTACTATTAAGTTATCAATAATATATTATTAAATTATAAATGATTTACTACTAAATTAGCATTAATTTGCTATTAATTTATGAATGATTTATTATTAAGTTATAAATGATTTACTATTAAATTATTAATGATTTATTATTAAGTTATTAATAATTTATTGTAAAGATATAGCTAATTTACTATTAATTTATCAATGATTTACTATAAAGCTATCAGTGATTAACTAATTTACTACTAAATTATCATTAATTTACAGTTATTAATAATTTACATATAAAAAATCAATGATTTACTATTATGTTACATTGATTTACTATTTAATTTTTAATTATTTATTACAAAATTATCATAGATCTATTACTAACTTAAACATGATTCATTATCAAGTTATCACTAATTTATATTAAATTAGTCATAATTTACTATTAAGTTATTTAACTATTAAGTTATTGATAATTAACTGCTACTAAATTATATTGATTTATTTTTATGTTTTAATAATTAACTACTAAATTATCATTAATTTACTACAAATTATTTATAATTTACTACTAAGTTTATCAATTAATTACTATTAAATTGAAATTGATTTACTATTAAGTTATCACTAATTTACTATTAAATTATTATTAATTTATTATTAAGTTATCAATGATTAACAACTAAATTATCACTTGTGTTCTTATTAATCTATCATTGATTTACTAACATGTTGTTATGCATTTAAAACTATGAAACATGGAATTTAAAAAGTCTACAAATAATATATGAGATAATTTTTTTATATAATAACATTATTTTTTTATTCAAGTTTAGAATTTTTTTTACTAATTCTTTTTATTAAATACATTCATGAAAGTTTTGACTTTGGTTTTATTAGTAACGAGCGTTCAATCATTAGCAACTTCAAGTATAAAAAAGTTATCAATGATTGGCAATTAAGTTATTAATTATTTACTATTAATTTATCAAAAAAGTGCTACTAAATTATCAATAATTTACTTTTAATTTATGAATGATTTATCATTAAATTATGAATTATTTATCATTAAGCTATAAAAGATTTTTATTAAATTTTTGGTGATTTAGTACTAAGTTATTGATGATTAATTATAAAATTATAACTAATTTACTACTAATTTACTGATGATTCACTAAAAAGTTATTAATGATTAACTAATTTACTACTAAATTATTATTGATTTACAATTAAGTTATTAATAATTTACTATTA